GGGTATATAGATTTGTTAGGATTATTAGGATTGTTATAGATTATTACGCTCTCTATTGTATCATTTCTCTATAAATAAATTGATGTTAGGGATAAGTTGTTATTATTAATTTTTATACGACTTGACCTGGTTCCCTTAAAAATGATTTTATGGTTAAACTTTACGTCATCTTTAGTAATTGTCAAATCTTTTAAAATGGTACTAATGTATTTGAAAAGATGTTAGGATACATTTGATTCTTGGAATATACAAACACATCGTGCTGTTAAATGCAACACAACACGTTATTGACAATTAACTCGTTTAAATAAAGAATCCTTGAAAAAACGAACGAACAGTCTCGATGGATGGTAGGGCGTGGCTTTTGCAACGCGATAATACTCGCGTTCGATCGCTTAGGAAAGAAGCCAGCAGGAAATAAGCCGGTTCAATCGGCCTCCTTTACCACACCCATCTTACGGCTGTCCGATCCTCTTCCGATCGATCGTTCATTTCATCCTTTCATATTTCTCTATAACTACAAAAATTTATGAATACAGTATGTTTTACGAGATAAAACTTCAAAGTAAAATACGAATACGTTGGCCGTAATATTGGAGATAACCATAAGTCAAGCTTTTCGATTACCGTCAAATTTATTTATCTAAATATAAAACCATTTTCGCAACTGACCATACCAATTGAAATGTTTTATTCGATCGTTCGCATTATCGCGACCTATTTTACTTGAACCTATAACTTGTGTTTGAAAATTACAGATAAACAATACTGAATGATTCTGCAGGCAATTCTATCGAAAGTTCAAGTTCGTTCGAATTCTCGTTTCGGAAGCTCAGTAAACGTTTAGTCGTGAGACTCAACCACGTTGTCTTTGATGTAAAACTTCAAGGCCGTTACAATGGACGTCAAATGTCGTGATAAATACAGTAACTATCCTCTATAACCGACTCTATCCGTTAGCAAAGTGAAATTAATAAAGACCGTTAGCACGCTTGAGAGAGAACTCAAGTTGGTAGAAGTAGTAAAGACACACCGATAGTGCGACCGTCAAGTGAAACGGATTTATATTCGTCGTACTACGTAAACGAGATAATAAAACTTACCGACGTAAAAAAGTCTAGAAAATCCTAGATAATAAAAAGATAATATTACTATCGAATCTTTGTGAATAAGGAAATAAAAAAAAGGAGAGAAAATTATGGCGAGATAAATAAAAAAAAAATAATTAAAAAGAAAAAAAAAGAAGGAAAGAGAAAAACTAGCTGACATTTCTTTGAATGAAAATAAAAAAACGAGAAAACTCATATTTCGTAAAATCTTGTTAATTGTGACATCTGTGTACGCTAATGAAACATAATTATGAAACATTTCAAAAACAGAAAAATATGCATTAAATGAAAGATAGCATTCGTTAAACTATTAAACGAAATCGAAGAACGATGATATTTTGTAGCAGTGGAAATACCTGGGTACTTGATTCTCCGCAATGCGACGAAAATCGACTGGTCGTTGAACGATGCCATCGACCCCTAATTCGATAGGTAACTATAATACCTAATACTATATACATATATTCGATAGGTAACTATATACCTAATGGCTGTATAGATACATATAATATATATNATCCAATAAAATATTGGTAATAAATACATAAATAAATAGTACGAAAGGAAAGATATATATATATATATATATATATATATATATATATAAATACACTTTACAGAAACTAAATTGTTTTGCTGAGAGTAGAGTAAAGTAGCATAAAATATGACTTTTTTGCAAAAGAGGAAAGAAGAGAATTGAGAGGAGGAAGGAAAATACAAAATAAAAGATAAAACATAAATAGAAAGATGAAAGACAAACGAGAAAAGTAGGAGAGCAAAATGATGTGTCTATTACTAACGCCTCGACTTTACAACATAGTCTCTCAAACGAACGAGCAGAAATGCATTAATATACATGAGTGCGAGTGAATGGAATGCTTATAACGCAGCAAGCGTTGCATTAAGGAAAACAAGTGAAAAGAAGAGATCAGACATAGTAGCCGACTGTAAGCGTTAGAAGCTAACATTTTATGTGTACTTACTATATACTTTGTATAATAGTAAATATGTACGTTGAAAAAACAGCCAAGGATAAACACTTTTGTAAAACGATACATTGTATTTTGCATGTTAAGTTATTTATAGGATCTAATATTTGAATATTATAAAGAATAAAATAAAAATATGATAAAAATGTAGAAGATGGAAAATAAGGAACTAAATGATAAATAAATAGCATGAAATAGGTACAAACTTCCTAAACAATTCATTCTAAATTGTTATATTCTACTATCTCTTTTCTCTTTCTTTCAACAAATGGTATAATGCACTTTAATGCAACGAAGTAATCAAAACGTACCACGAGTTTATATATTACTTTACTACAAATGAGTCAACTCTATGCTTCGTACCTTTGGCATTCATCTTGTATATCCTACGAGTCTTCGTTTAATTATAGTTGATGCGTGAGAAATGTCTCCAAACGAATAATGAACGAGCTAGTTGTGTGTCGAGCCAGACACCTCTTTGATATTTCCAAATGGTTAACGCGAACGCGCTTGTGTAATGAAATCTCGTTATAATAAAATTTTCGAAAAATGAATTACCGTACGGATTAACTCGTTAAAATACTTACGATTTAAATATTAAAAACGAACGATTAGATTGTGCATATGTACTACTGGCAAAAAGTTTGAAATCATTTGCTAATTTCCGTAAAAATCGAATATGCAGATCAATTTTGAAATAATTTATCGTCATTATATAAAATATTTTTGATTTTGTTGAATTACGCGTTTTAAGAGATTTTAATATTTTCTTATGTCCATAATACTCTTGTATAATTTCTACACTCAGTTTAAGACAATCCTCAAAATGAACTTTCTTATTGAAACATCTTTACCAACTTCTACAAGAAGCATGGAAAGACATTTAATTAAAAATACTTGAAAAACTAATTACTAGAATCCAAAATATGTCAGACTTAACAATAAAGACAATTTTTCGATGAAAGGGCAATTTGAAGAAAAATAATTATTTCTTGATTAAAAAAATAATACAAGTACATATAAACGATATTACTGATGAATTATTCGGAGAAATAAATCTACCTCGGTTACCTTAAAGACGTTCGTGTTTTTCTTATAAATATCCTGTTCCTCTGAATTTACATAGTAATTCCAAACTTGTGGCTGATAGAGTATATATTACATAGACATATCCATTTGTTAACGAGACATGCGCGTGTTATGTCGAGTCACTTGAAGACACTTATCGATATAATATAACGTATTATGGATACGTTAGCTACATGCTTCATATACTTCTAACGATAACTACTAGTATTCTAATGATACATTTAAGTACTATGCGTATATCATACGTCAGATATTGTATACCTTAGCTTAGTGAAACGTGTTTTATCGTAAATTGACACTAATTTCAGAATAAATTAATATGCTAATTTGGTAGTAATGAAATTAACCGACTGTGAAAAACAAAACCAATATTTTTTATTCTTTTTTACTGTCTTTTTTCTTTTCTTTATCTTTCTGTCTTTATCGATCATTTCTTTCCAAGAAAAACATCATTGTCGGCTAATCGCATTGAATAACCCCACACACACACACAAAACTTGGATGAATAGATAACTCGTTTTAAGAACTTTGTCGTCATCTTTGTCTTCGTTTCTTAGGTTCCCGAGTAAAAATACTTTTTCTCGCTAAATATCATAGTTATCACCGATTACAACGATAATTTCTTCAAAGAACAATAAAAAAATATTTTCACCCTTAATCACACCCTTCTCGTATTCTGAACCATTATTGGAAGATATTAATGACAAAATAAGTAAAACGATTAAATTAATTTGCAAGTTCATAGAAGAAGAAAAGAAAAAACAATTTTTATACGGAAATTTTTTCGTTAACGACTAAGGAATAAAATGAACGATTAAGAAATAAAATTCAAATTATTCAATTTGTTTAAACTGTTCACGTTCTTACTATTCTTTTCGAACTTGTTTTAAAATTATTCCATCCAATAATTAGACGCATATAACAATTTGTTAATTGTTAATTTCTCTCTATCAATATAAGAACAAGTATGATTATATTACTTACTTATTTACCTTCGTCTTCTTTTAAGCGTTGTCTTCTCCTCCTTCTTTTCCGCTTCTTTTCTTTTCTTCTTGCCATTTTCTCGGCCATTGATTTATTAGAAAAAAATAATGATTACTATCGGGGATGTTAAAAAGAGAGGAAAGCTAGTCAATATTATTGTCTAGCACCGATACTTTTATTTTTTTATTACCAAACGAGATAAGAAAATCTAATTTAAGAATCACCTAGCTTGAATGTCCAAAAATTCGTTCATTAATAAAAATATAATGTAGTCGAGTAAAATGATAATGAATATAATAGTAAATACAATTATAATAGTGACATAGTAAATAGCAGAAATAAGGGAATAACAACCATAGACATTTTTATTAACGCAAAAAGTATTTTCTACGCTCTTATTCGTTATAATTTACTTTTATCTTAAATTCTCTTTTTATCTTTTTTATCCGATTTTATTATTCATTAATTTTTAAATGTATGTATATTTATATTTACATGTTTAAAAAACAAAGACTATTTGTATAATTTTTTTTACGTTTTTTATACCTAATATTCTATTTAACTGTCCATTTATTTAAATAATTTGTTAATTCTAAAAACGATTTAAAAAAAGTAACAAGTTTTATTAGTTATTTATATTAATAACAATATTAATTTTAAATTGGCTGTGTAAAAAAATATAAATTGTTTATAACTATTACTTTATTAAAACAACGATCATTATGCGTGGTAAATACTGACGAAAAATTTGTATTACTAACGAATATCCTTTTCACTACATAGATGGCATTGCAGTGCAGAATGTGAACGAAATTATTTTACGAACATAAATAAATAAAAAAAGAACCTTTACAAATATATTTTCACAGTCTTTAATCTTGGTATAAAATGACGCACATTTTTTAAACATGTACTGAAATAAAATGATATAATAAATTATATTATACAAGAAAATTCAATATTTTCAGAATATCATATGATAATATTGGTTGTGGCAGTATTCGTCCGTCGTCATTTCACGTTCTAGAATGACTAAGCAAATTGATCGAGAAACCACAGAAGGCTGGGAAAAACGTATTATTTCTTTTATTATTCACGTTGGAACGTGAAAATTTAAACGTTTTAAATGGCTATGGATGGAAAACGATCTATTAAGATGGTACGTCGGCAACTATCACACGTGAGCAAAATCTATATCATTATTACCGATCGTGTATATTCTGATAATTTAACACATCCTGATTCAATAGTACAAAGAATTCGTTTGCAATAATATTTTGTAGAAATTTCATTTTCAAATTACAATAAAAAATTAATAAATATTATTGTTTCTAAAGTAGATGAGAAATATACATGTAAACTCTGTTAGATTACTATTTATTGAATGTAATTTTTATATATATTTTTTTTTTTTTTTTACTATTGTATTAATGTAATCTTCATTATTTAATTTCTTTATTTATCTTGTTTATATTGTAGTTGTTCTTTTATATATATATATATAGGATCCCCTTTCACCAGGTCCATGTTTGGACATTAGTGACGATGAACTTGTTACAATATCTGTCAGAGATTTGAACAGACAGTTGAAACTGCGTGGATTGTCTAGAGAAGAGATAGTACGAATGAAGCAGAGGAGAAGAACTTTAAAAAACAGAGGTTACGCAGCCAGTTGCCGTATTAAACGCATAGAGCAAAAAGATGAGCTAGAATCAGAAAAAACTCAGGAGTATCGTGACATGGAAGCAATGCAAGATGACAATAATCGCATGAGAGAGGAAATAGAATCTTGGCATTCCAAATATCAGGCACTTAAAAAGTTTGCTGCAGAAAAGAAAATTCCTATTCCATCTGATTTAGAAATGATATAAATCTTAAACGGTAATAAGCAATATATATAAGTATATATAACTAGCCTTGTAAATATACATTATCCTTTTAGTAATATAAAAAAATGAATAATTAATATAAAATAATATATTCATCATAATGACGGCCAATAAATAATATAAAACTTTATTTTTAGGACAATTTTAGTTTAGCATGCATTTTGAAATATTTATGCAGGTGTATAGTAAAGACAATTATTTATCAAATTAATTTTTTATCCAATTTTTTCAAGTATTACACAAATAATTATTAGTATTTATATTATTTATATGTTACATTATCTATATCTCTGATGTATGTACTTTTTTTAGTACATAATGTATATTAACAATTCTATAACACTTTTATTAACTTTGAATATAAAATTGTTAGAGTAAAAGTTAAAAAATTATTATAATTCTTAACGCACAAATATATTTATTTAAATAAATATTTCATATATATATATTCTCTTTCTCTGTAATACATAATAAAAATATTAATTTGCTAACTACATCAACATTAATTGAATTACCTAATAATCTATATTTTTGTTTAATTGTTGTACTATTTGGAAATGTAAAATCTTCTGGAAAACACATTAATCTAGATACTTCTTTTGGTGTGAAGTATCTTAACTTTAAAGATAAAAAGAGTTTTAATTGATCTTCTGAATATTTTTCATATTTGGTAGACTCGGTAAGGCTTTTTTGTACTGTTTCTTCAGAAAATGGGCAATACACAGAACCCGTACCTTCAACGTAATGTCCATAAGCCTTTGTAAAACAACAAGAGCCACAATTTTCTGCCGTTCTTATATCTAAGAGTGTAGCTCGTTTTTGTAGAACATTTTTAGGAATCAAGTATAATTCTTCTTCACAATTTTCTAAAATATGTTTTAATTTATAACAAACAATACCAAATTCTATATTATCGACATGTTCTTTTTCCATGAATAACTGATGTTTACTTCGTGGAAGAAGCATCATTAATCTTTGAGACAGACTATAATCTAATACAGAGTCATCAAAACAAAATTTTAAATCTTTTTTCTTTGCAAGCAAGTAATACCTATGCCTAGTATTTGGAATACCAAATTGTGTCGGACTTAAAATTAATTCTTTATAATTAAAGTGGCAACTTTTAAGGCACTTCAGTAACTCTATTCTTGTCTCAGAGTTTTCAAATCCCTTTACATTTTCCAATAATATATATTTCAAAGATGAAATCCGTGGTATAATTTGTAAAAGATGAAACAATGAACACGATCTCTTATCTAATTTGTCTTTTTGTAATCCTACTCTAGTAAATGGTTGACAAGGAGGACTCATAAGTATCATATCTATATTTAAATTTATAATTTCCTCTTCACTTATAGATTCAATGTTGCGGTTCATGAGTAAGACTTCTGGAAAATTATGTTTATATACATTATTGGCAACAGGATTTATATCCACTGCACCAATAACATTTCCAGCCACTCCACTTTCTAAAAAATAACATGATAATTAAAACTTTTAACAAATATTAAATCTGCTCAAATATTGTAATGTATCTTTTAGGTTAATGCATGCATTTGATAGATATAAAACTTAAATTAAATGTACCTCGAAAGGCATAATGCATTCCGCCAATACCGCTGTATAATTCCAATATTCGCATTATAAATGATTTAAAAAAATATTTTCTTTAAAAAAAAAGAAACATTAAATACACTTAAAAAAATTATACACATTCGATATAGTATAAATAATACACGAATGATTTAAATGTACATAACCCCATATTGAAAAGTGCAACAAGGTAGCTATGCTTTGATTGGCTGCCTATTTACCCGCCTGATTATACACATTTTCAAATATAAGATTATATGTACATTATTAGTAAAACGGATATTGTGATTATATGCAAATTTCAAAATATGTTATTTATAGAAGTTAATATAAATAATAAGAATACATTATCAATTTCATAATTAACAGTAAGATTATAATAATAAATGAAAATTATAAAAAAATACTATCGTTAAAAATATCGTAATCGCTGGCAAAAACAACATTAAAATTTTTACTCTAAAAGTTTAATTGGATTTTTTAACGTGTTTAAATTTAATTTCATTGCAACGGTAAACAAGTAGAGATTTGATAAAAATAAATATAGAATTCAATTGAAAAGTGCATCTGCGAATTGGACGATTACTATGTCAGGCTATTATATCACTTAATTATATGATTAATATAGTTTTCTTTTTGTTACAGGTGATCATTGTGGGATTTAACAACAAATCTTTGAAATTTTCTTCTATTTGAACGCCTCAAATGATTAATTTTTAAAAATAAATGCATTTCTGAAGGCACACACACACATGTTTATACATTAAAAATTAAATATAATTATATAAAATTCTATATTACAATATATAAGTATATACTATATATACTATCATATATATACAGAATGCAGTATTCTTTGATAGTATTGTATTGTCATCGCGTTAAATACCTACTATCGCCCAATGGTTTTTAGGTTACTAACTTAAATGAATGTGGTTAGGCAAAAAGGTGAATTGTGGGCTTCTGTGTACTTCTGTATTCTTTGGTAATATTGTAGCCGTCGTAAGCTTATGCATCAATATTATATTGGATGTAGTCTCCATGGGTGGGAACGCTTCTTCCCTTTTGCACTTATAGTTCAAGTTTTACCCACTTCTATCTTGCAGTTAAACATGCTTTGTGTAAAAACAGCCTTAAAGAGATAACCTGACTTTAGATGTACTACATACGTACAACATGTCAGTTCATAGTTCGTAGTTTAACGAAGTATTGCGTAGAAATATGAAAATTTATCGTGTATAATCAAACATCGTTATAATTTGTACAATGCGTAAATTCAAAATACGCGGTTATATGTGACGATATATTTAAAGTGAGATTATTAATTAAATCAAAATATATTGCGAAAGAGAAACTTTCGTATAGATAATAACCTTTACTTTTTAACCAATGTGTAATATGTGTTATGACATTTCTTTGCAATAATTCATGTGTTTAGATGTGTTTTTAACGCATATGTGAAATCAATAAATCTCACATAAATTGCCTAAATGGCATGAAGTAATAATTACAAAAATATTTAACTTAACTAAAGTCAAAAAATGAATACATTGTGAAACATATCCAATTAAGTTTATATTTTACGTATCAAAATGTTTCGAAGTCGTAGTTGGTTTGGAGGAGGACTTTGGAAGCCAAAAAATCCACATTCTCTGGAGCACCTTAAGTATGTAAATCAGTTCACTAATTTTTAATTACAATTTAAAGCATTATTTTATGTTTAGGTACCTGTACAATGTTCTGTCAAAGAATCAAACAGTATCTGAACATAATAGAGGTTTATTAGTTGAAACTCTTCGCTCAATAGCTGAGATTTTAATATGGGGTGACCAAAATGACAGTAGTGTCTTTGAGTAAGTGATATCACTCATTATTTAACTCCTTGCACTATGATTTAACACGCAGAGTTGCATGCTATATTCAGTGCTATATTTCTTGTTTCTTACGTTTAGACCATAAAGCGTATCATGAGTCTTACATGTCATTATAGTGTAAGGAGTTAATCCGATATTCTGCTTAATTTTATAAATTAAATAGAACTGAAATATGAATATTAATTTGTACATATTGTATATAGCTTCTTTTTGGAGAAGAACATGCTTTCATTTTTTTTGCGTATCATGAAGCAGAAATGTGGAAGCTATGTATGTGTTCAATTACTTCAGACGCTCAATATATTATTTGAAAATATACGCAATGAAACATCTTTGTGTAAGTCATTTTTAATATAGATTATTTTAATAATTTAATCGATTTTTATCATTTATCTTATGTTTATATAATATTTGTAGACTACCTGTTAAGTAATAACCATGTAAATAGTATTATTGTGCACAAATTTGACTTCAGTGATGAGGAGGTAATGGCATATTACATCAGTTTCTTAAAAACGTTGAGCTTGAAGTTAAATACCCATACCATCCATTTCTTCTATAATGAGGTAAACGAGGTACACGTAATAAGTCTCTATGTTCTTATTTCATTTCTCATCTAATATCATATATCTATTTCATTTTTTTATTATTATTTTAAAGAATTCATTTAATATTAAATTAATTAAATATTAATTTAAATATAATTTAAAACCAATGCTTATGTTTGTGTATATATATATATAAAATATATATTTTACTTTTGTTATTTTGCACAATTTAAATGACATCTATTACACAAACACTATCTTTTATATATGAGAATATTTTGTAATTTAACATTTTTTCATTAGCATACCAATGACTTTCCACTATATACGGAAGCCATTAAGTTTTTCAATCATTCTGAGGGTATGGTTCGTATAGCAGTAAGAACTCTGACTTTAAATGTATATCGCGTGGAAGATGTATCTATGTTGGCATTTATAAGAGATCGCACAGCAGCACCTTATTTCAGTAATCTTGTATGGTTTATTGGTAATCATATTATAGAATTGGATACATGTGTCCGAAATGATGCAGAGTAAGTTCTATTGCAATATTTTATATTTTCATATACATATATGGTAATAATGCTGCAATGAATGAATAGAATAAAGAAAGTATATACGTTTTATTATTTGTTATAGTCATCAAAGTCAAAATAGATTATCAGATTTGGTGGCAGAACACTTGGATCATTTGCATTATTTAAATGATATACTTTGCTTGGATATACCAGATCTTAACAAGGTACTCTCGGAACATCTGTTGCATAAATTACTAGTTCCGCTCTATGTATATTCTTTAATGAAACGAAAAGATCTTTGTCAAAATCAGGTAAACTATATAATATGCAATATTTTACATTCATCAATAATTTAATATTAATAACTTTTTAATTGTTAGGATGAACGAAAATATGTCAGTGTAGTTGTGGCATTATTCTTACTTTCCCAAGTTTTTTTGATTGTTTCTCACGGACCTCTTGTATATACTTTAGCAGCTGTGATACTTAAATCTGATTTGAGCACGATTCAGATAGGAGTAAGCAAAGTGATTGAAACATTTAGCGAAATATCATCAAATAAATCAATAGAATTTTCACAGCCAAAAGAAACATTAGACAAATCCTTAGAAAATCTAAACGAATCATCAACCATATCAGAAAGTCCTAATGAAAATGATAATAATGTAGAATCTACAAGTAAGACTAGAGAAACTACGGATGAAGAAATACAAGATTTAAGTAAACCTAGTACATCACGTGCTCATGTGTTTTCCTGTGATAATACACATATTAAGAGCTCTAAACAATTAGATATAAACGTTTCTGAAGAACTAGGAGGTATAAAGCATTTGAATGTAACCGATGAAGAAAAAGAACGTTTGGCATTAGAGAGTCCATTAACACAGAGTCAAATACAACATAATGCTCTTGAATTATTATCAAAGAAACCGTTTTTAGAAACTATATTGAATTCCTTATTTTGTACAGAAAATGATTATGCTGCATTATTTGGATTATGTTTACTTTATGCATTAGCTAATAATCAGGTAATAAATATATAAACATAAAAATTTCACATGACAAATGTGAATCTTTATGTAGTAATTTAATAATTTTATTTATAAGGGTATAAATCATGAAACACTGGATTTAGTATTATCTCCTTCACAGAATGTAGAAACAAAGAATTGGTATAATGATATATTAATAGACAGATTAATTCACATAATCACTTTGAGCTGTCAGACAAGTAAGTCGTACAATCAAATACAATTATCATTTAAAATGGATATTTATATTTTTACGATTACGTTAATTAATAACAATATTTTTATTGTTAGATGCTAAAGTGAGACTTGTAACGTTGGAATTAACAATCAAATTATTGACACAGTTAGTTTTATCAGAAGGGCAGAGTCTTTTAAAAGATTCACATTTAGCAGCAATCGAAACAGCAAAAGAACAAAGTACAGCACTTTTGAGAAACTTCTATAAGGTGTGTAATTAAACATAGATATATTACAATTATGCAATTACTGAAATATTTTTATAAAATTTATTAGAGTGAAGAGATATTCTTAGATATGTTTGAAGACGAATATAACGAAATTCAAAAACGACCTTTAAATGTTGAATGGTTGATGATGGACAGTAATATTTTATTACCTCCTACGGGTACCCCAATGACTGGTATTGAATTTAGCAAACGATTACCATGTGGTGAAGTAAGTATTCTATTAAATTGCAAATTTAAAAAAAAATATCTATGATCATACTGTATTCTAATTACATATATATAGGTGGAAAGAGCACGTCGTGCGATTAGAGTGTTTTTCTTAATCCGTGAATTATCTTTGACTGTTAATATGGAAGAAGAAACACAGTTACCCTTAACAAATCCAGATAATTGTGTACAACTTACCAACGTACTTGATCTAAGTAAAAGTTATTTCCTTTCTTTGAAAAAATTAATATCTAAATGTAAACTATATATAAATGATTGTAGTATATAATAATTAAGAAGAATCTTTATAGAATGAATATTATTAAATAATGAAAATATATTTTTGTAATCTATAAAACATGTTTTAATTCTGATAACTGTTACAGATAACAGTGACTTAATATCATGTACAGTTGTATGGAAAGATGGACAAAAAATCCATTGGTTTTTGGTCATTGATGTTACACAATTAATTCTAGTTGAACCTGACACTACCAAACTTGGGTGGGGTGTAGCAAAAATTGTAGGCTTTTTACAGGATATTGAAGTGACGGGTGACAATAATGATTCCAGGTGTTTATATTTAACCATATACAAACCTCTAAGAAATAGCACAGGCAACAGAGTTCCATTACTATCAGCTAAAGTTGTTTTCGAAGATCACATTAGATGTATGGCTGCAAAACAAAGGTATTATATAAAATACTTGGCACCTTAATGTCTACATATGAAATCTATTATAAAATTCTTTTATGAAATAGGTTAACAAAAGGTAGAATAAAAGCACGACAGAGAAAGATAAACCAAATTGCTAGATTACTGGGCATGCCAACAAGTATACCGCATTCGTCTACTCCACCAAACTTTGCTTTACGTAATATGCGACACGACCGTAAGAATATTATGTTATCATTAAATTCGATTATTTGGAATATACTTATTTGTAATATTTATAATCTTAGGATATGGACGTGGACAAAGGCAGAAGGATCAACCAAGACCAATGTTTACGGTAAATAAAGTTCCGGGATTCGCGGCACAAATGCGCAGAGAACATGTTTTTAAACCTGTTCTTGGTCTTCCATCATCTAGTTTTAAGCGTGTTGATAATAACTCTAATGAGAAGATTCATGAAAATGGTTTACGATCTAGAGATAGTTCTCCAAAAATGCCACGCCCGCGTAGTGAAGAGATACCTCTTGAGGATATGCGTAATCGTAAAACATCTCTGACGTCTAATGGAGCAAGTGCATCTCACATATGTTTAGAGAAGAAAGATAGTTGTAATTCTGGTAGTTCATCTAATAGTGAACCTACATCTATAACTAGAAAACGTTCTGAAGAAACATCGTTTACTTCTCCTCAAACTCAAGAAGTCAAACCACGTAGAAAGGGTCAAGTGGAGACAGTATGATTATATAAGAATAGAATTATTTTTAAAAAGTAGAAACGGGAAAATTTTTGTTAGGGAGTTGATGAAAGAAGAAAGATGTATATACATTTTTGAAATAGAAACAAAGTTCTCTATCAATTTAACGTGTAACTATTTATATGTCGTTTGAATTTTTCAAAACTATGTTTTTTCACAATATTTGTTAACTAATATTACAGGTAATTATTACTGCCTTTCTCTGTATAATTACATATTTTGTCATTTGCAGTTACGAAATGATCACTTGTATATAAAATAGTACATTCGCGTTAAATTCTAATAAATGTTTAACACATTGTGATAAATTTTTCCTTTAGGTAATTACATATTTTGTAGATACTTTTTATTCTTTATACAAATATTATATCTGTTTTTTAAATGTGGACACTAATTCATTAGTACACAAATTATTGAGTAATGTTTCTTACAATGATTTAATGTATATATGTTTTATAATCTAGGATAAAAGTAATTTAAATTATTTAAAATATTATTTATGTATTAAACATGCTTTACATTCAATATTTATATGGCTCCTTCGATAATTAACAGATTATGTGTTTTGCACAACAAACAAATTATTCATTCAATGCTTAACACTTATCTTAGATATTTACTTTTTAATGCAATAATATTATATTCGCTTTTAAAATAATGTGAGAAACTTTAATACTTGCTAACATTATTATCGTAATTTAATTTTTTTTCCTTACAGATTTAGGATTACATCTATTTTCAAAAAGTGTATAGTGCCATTTTTTTTGTAAATTATATTAAATTTGGTATTTAAAACAAAAATTTGAATATTGTAAATAAACATATTTAAGAACGATATCAGAATGATATTTTCTAATTTCCAAGTTATCTTTAAGAAACTATAAATTCTGTTAAATGCATTTGTAATAATGATATAATCTAATGTCCATTTAGACTTTTAGTCAAAAGAAATAAGTTCTGCTGTTTCAGGCTTTGGTTCCTCCTTTGCTTGAATGTTTTCTGTTACTGATGGAGCTGAATTTTGAGGAAATGTAAATTGTTGGCCTTGGGTAGCAGGAATTTGTGTCATCCCTTGCATATTTAAATTAGGTCCAGTAGGACCTTGTAAAGATTGATTTGATGGAACCATTCCAGTACTACTTCCAGCAGAAACTTGTATAGTTGTTCTTTGAGATGGAATAATAGTAGAAACATGCTGTGGTACAGGAGCTCCTTGCGGAATAGGTATACCAATAGGTTGTGGTCCAATTTGTTGTGGAAGTACAACTTGTCCAGGCGGACCGTGTGTTGTTGGAGCTATTTGTCTTGGTGGTGCGGGTATATTATTAGGTGGTACTGATTGAGACATACCTATCTGATTTGGTAAACCCGACATTTGTGAACTGTGAGGTCCTTGTTGTGGCATATGGCTTGGTGGTACTTGTGTTACTGGAATATGACTAGCAGTACCTTGTTGAGCAGGACCTATCTGATGACCAGTTGGTTGCTGAAGTTGCGTTATAGGATTTGTCACTTGAGGAATCTATAATAAAAAAGTGATAAAAAGACAATTACATAATTCTCTTTGCCATTTATTAAAAAACGTGAAATTACTGTTTATATACTTACCATTCCAGTATTTGTAATTACAACTCTACCTACATTGTCTCGTGATTGAACTGTTGAATCAGGTGCAGCTGATTCTGGATTAGTTATTGTACCCATTAAATGTGGAGGTAGAGAACCTATTGGTGGCATATAACCTTGAATAGGATATTGCCCCATTGAATGCTGCCCATACATGTAAACACTTTGATCTGTTGGAGACATAGGATTATAATTTGATCCAGGTCCTTGATACTGCATCTGACGAACTGGAGACCCTTGAGAATGACCCATATATCCTGGCATACCTTGATAACCACCTAAAAAAAAAAGACAAAATTAATAAAAAATATATTGAACGTAACTAAAAAAAATAAATCAAGTAATTCTAATTCTAATAAAGTAAATAATTTTAAAAGATTTACTCATAATATATTGCTGTTTTTGTTGCTCTTGTCTCATTTGCATTTCTCTTTCTTGTTCTTGGATTTTTTGTAAAGCTAATTGTCGTTGATATTGTAAATAATCTTGTTTCTTTTTTCGCATAATTGCTAATTTCATTGCCATTAACATCTGCCGTTGTCTTTCAGCTTCCTCTGCTTGTCTACGCAATTTCTCTCTATGTTCATCTCGTAAAGCATCTAATGCAGCTCTAGCGTCTTTAATTTGTGTTAACTTGTCTTGTAGTCCTTCATAATATACTCTACTATCATCTTGTTCTTGAATATAAGTCAATAGTCTATTAAAGCAAAATTATAAATTAATTCTGAATAATAACGGGGGTATATATTTGAAGTCTTTAAAAGTTTATATTATTTGTATAATACCTTGAATGCATACGAGTAATATTGAGAAATAAATTTTGTACAGAACTGTCAGAAGTAATAGGTCTTCCTCTAGAAGAATTACTTTTCATTCTATTTACAAAAATTTCAACTTGAGATCTTAAAGCATTGACAAATTCTTCCATTTCTATATCAACTTCTCCATTTTGCTGTTTAACGATAACAACTTTTTGAGGCATCGGACTGCTTATATTAGGTGCAGAAGGACTTGTTACATCCGTTCTCGCACTGTGCTCTTCTATTGCTGTTTGTCTTTGCTCCCAGTATCTTCGATTTAAATATTTTGCTAGTTCAGGATCAATTTCATCTTCATCTTGAATTCGAGATGGACTTGGTCCCTATATAATAAAAATATCAAATAAAATTAATAATATAATAATAGACATACGATATGTAATCTAATAACTATGATAAACTAACTGGAGATGGAGGAGGTGAATATGTTGTTCTAGATACAGAAACAGTGTTAGACTTCAAAGCATTCGTCGCGCGTTTCTTTTCTCTCTCCTTTTGTTCTGCTTCACTTTGACTTAAGGCTATAGCCAATTGTAGATCTTCTTCTTCTCGAATTTCATCCTCCGATTTTCTAGGAGGAACCTAAAATAATATTTGCATGTTAGTTTAAATGAAATAGTTGACTTATTCGTTTTTCTTTACCTGTTGTTGTTGAGCCAAGGAACTGCTCAAATATTCAGCTGGTAAATCAGTTTCTTTTGAATGGGTAGTAGAAGGTCTAAATAAATAAAATATTTATTAGATTACACAAATAATATAATAATAATACATATATTGAGAAAGAAATATTGTACTAACTTATTAACTTGTTCAAAACATGCTTCACATACTCTTACTTCTTTTTCAAATCCAATTTTAGGTAATGTAGAAACTTTGTTCGAGCACTGAGCACAAAATACTTGACCACATGCTCTACAGTGGTGTTTTCGTTGAAGAATGCCAAATCCTACACGACAACGATGACAAACATCACCATCTGTCCACTCAGGAGCAGTATCAGCTGTAAACATTGCTTCGCTTTCTTTTAAAGGAGGAAATTTATGACCTTCATTTTTCATAATATTTAATGTGTCCTAAAAATGCCATAAACATACAATAATTTTATTTAATATACCATAAATATTACAAAAAATTATATCTTACCTGTACTGCTCTATATTTAAGATTATTTCGAAACGCAAATGCCAAAGCTTGTATTAATTCTAATATTTTTTGTCTAACGTGTTCGTGAGTTGACGTTTTTACTAATTCTTTAAGTTGTTCCATATATTGTTTAGTACCAATTTCATCTTGGATGCGAGATCCACAATTTTTAATGCAAGATTCTAATACCTATCCAATGATACGTGATGCAATATTAATAGAAATTTTTAATAATACATGATATAATAGATATATTTCAAAGATTTATAAACTTACTAGCAGAGCATACGAAGCTACATGTGGATTAGGATTGGTTAATTTCTTTTTTATAGCAGCAAGTGCTTGTTTTGGTCTGTAAATAAAATAGAATACTAAATACTTTTAATAAGATAATGATATTTACAGTTATAATACAATATGGCCGTATTAATAGTAAAATAAACTATGGAGGAAGACAATTGGCTTATCATTAGTCAAGAATGTATGACTAATCTAGGTTCAAATATATACATATGATGGATATATATATATATATACACATATACATATAAACTTGCTAAATATTAAAATTCATACAGGTTAACTTTAATTTATATTAGGAATATTGAAAAGTGTAAAATCAACTCACTGAACATCGTTTTGACGTATGAGGTCGCAAATTTGTAGAATAGTGGGCCAGTCAGGTTCGAGTTGAAATTGACTCGTGGCTTTATCTATAGTTAAATAATACAAATATAATTATAAACGAACGGTGTCCGACATTTTGTGAGTATTAATGGAACAAAAAAAGTGGAATTTACCTAATAATTTGTCGAAATTTGTAGCACGAAACATAGTGCACTTTCTAAAAGATTTATTTTCTTTTGTTTAAGCTAAATTTCGTATTATATTTTTTAATATTAACTTTGTTATAAATTATATAGCAGCTATACACAGTTTTAATAATAACTTCGCTTTTAAACACTTTTTTTCACAGTTTTTTCAGTATATGAGGATCCCAAAGCTTAATGTAAAAGATTGCCTACGACTTTAATTTTGCACCGAGAAAGTCAGGAGGCGCAGTGATACATCTGTGTGATTTCCTTGTATCTCAGTGGAGTCATTTTGCGCCATCTACTTGTGCAAATATTGTTTTAAAATTGTAGATAATATTCTCCATTGCAGTTAAGATATTGCAACATTTAAATGAGTACGTATTTTTATACTTATCTCTCTTAAAGAACTATATCTAAGGAAAATAAGATACACATTACATCGAAAAACACACATTTTATTTGTGGTAGTTACGTAGAGATCGAATATAACATACGAACATCATGTATACATATTTAATCAAATATTTGTATACTATGCGTCTACATTACTTATAATGATAAATTGAGTTAGAAGTATGAAAATATAAATATGTACAAAGTAAATATGAAAATTAATGAAAATATTAAATTTTGTTCGTCGTTAAGTTTTTTTCTTACATTTCAAATATACAAATTCAGTCGCTTTTCAAAAATATTATTCTCGTTTCAAAAGAATATAGATCACTCTTTAAATGAAGATATTCCCTAAAAAATTTTTTGCGAACTTTTATCGTTGTTGATTAAACTAATTACCAGATTAATAAATATACGTATGATTTACTATGCTATTAAATACAGTCGTGTATTGCATACAAGTCCCGCAACCAAAACCCCGATTATCGTTTATGATCTCTTGTCGAAAATATTCGACACTGTCGTCAATAAAGATTGTACGCCACAATGATGTGAATTATGATCGATGATAATTATTAATTGTTTTATCTAACTAAATTAATTAAGCTATATGAAACTGATTATAATTACAATATATTATCAGTTTCATTGTAGAAATTGGAATGAACGTAAATCGTTTCAAGATGGCTACCGAAGATCTATCGAATATCTATCACGATCTTTGGCAGCCATGTTGACGAAGTCAAATTAATTGTCTCATTCACTTTTACATGCAAAACTTGTAGAATATTCTCACGTGACAAGTTTTGCATGTAACCTGAGGGATTCATACTGTTCTTGGAAACTTACAAAGGAAGTTTATCATTAGCTAATGGCTTAAAAAAGGCGTAATGCTCTTGCAGAAAGATTGACATCTTCGACTGGTAATTGCCATCGACTGTCCCAGAAATCATTCTTCCTAAATGCTAAATGTGTGCACATAGGTAGACGAGTAGCACGTTCACATCTTCTGGAAACCGACCAGTAAATGAAATTCA